AAGAGACCCACTTTACTGTGAAAGTGATGTGATGGATGTGATGCATATGCTTTACAGCATCATTATGAAGATTAGAGATACTTAGCTAAGTTATCTAAACTTCAATGAATGTAAATTTCAAAAAAGTATTAAGAACAGAAATAATAATTTATTGTTCTTCACATTAAGTGCCTTGTAAAATATTAAAACAGGGATGAGAACATTTATATATATAAAGCTTATATATATGTGTGTGTATATATATATATATATATCTCCTAATATCATGTAGTAGGTATATGTTGTTGTTGCTGTTAGGTGCTATTGAATAGGTCCCAACTCTCAGCTCTCTTAGGTATAACAGAACAAAACTCCCACCCAGTCCTGTGCCAACCTCACAATTGTTCTTATGTTTGAGCCCATTGTTGCAGCCACCATATCACTCCATCTTATCCAGGGCCTTTCTCTTTTCTCTTCCTCTCAACTTTACAAAGAATGTTGTATTTCTCCAAGTGTGCGTCCTTATACAGGTATGTGTAGGAGCCAAAAATAAATACAATGTCTGATTTTAGTCCCAGTCTCCATGTTCCATGACATATTGCTCTTTTATAGTTATTACATCACTGAACAGTTGGCACACCATATCCAGGCATTTAACCATTGCTCATATGAGAAAATGCATGTAGTAGATGAACCTTTTAACATCAGAGGGTATTGATGATTAATTGTATTAGATAAAACAATACAAATCATTGCCTGTTAACTGAGCAAACCAGAGAGTGGGACTGGGGAAAAAAAAGGCATTTCACTATCATCCCACAGCTTATTGCTTGGCAGCTTCAATGTCAATGGTATAGGTCAAAACATGTCTACCAAAGTTTCAGTTAGATAAATTAGGGGCCTGTTGTTATCAGAGTTTAAGAAGGACACATTTAAGTTAACCTGGTAGAAGAATGTCAACATTAATTCCCAGAACCAATCTCATCATCCACTCAAACATCTAAAATGTGAGCACATATTCAGAAG